TGCCTGTTTTGTGTGTCAACACATACCGATTTTTTTCGATTTAGGAAATTTATGTTTTTTATTATTGGCATGATTATTTGTATCATGTTAGCAATTTTTTGGTAACAGAATTAAAAATGTCGAGTGTATCACAAGCGACGCCGGTGACTCCTGGTTTCGAGCCTGATCAGACCACTACCCAATATTCAAACTCCGCCACCACCCGCCACCAGGCACCGACGGCACCGTAATGGGATCCCTTCGTTTGATTGAATTACAACTAGTGGCATTCATTATGGTTATTTCAGCCAGTGGCCCTGTTCCACTCCTTGATCTCATCTTCCCAGCCTTCGCCACTGCTTATATTATCGTGCTTTCGCGTTTAGCCTTTCCAGCACACGGAAAAATATCGGACTCGCTCGAAATATACCAAGGCAGTCGCTTTTTTCGATTCTACGTAATTGTCGGAACAACTATTGGCCTATTTTTTCCATTGGCTTATATTTTGGGTGGATTTGCTAGAGGAGATGACCATGCTGTTCGATCAGCCACACCTCATTTGTTCTTGCTGTCTTTCTAAGTACTCACAGAAAACATCGTAAGTGGGCTGTCGTTGTGTTCGCCTCCTGTGCGAGCACTTGTCCCTTTACTTTACACCGTTCGGAGGATTTTTGTCTATCTTGATTGGATTAAGGATGTTTGGATTAACAAAACCTTGCCTGCAAATGCTGCACTCCAGGTAATTTTGGAACTTAGGCTTCATTTTTATCAATTTTTAGTATTAATTGAGACTGAATCATGATTGAACTCGTATTTTGCTTTATGTTGGTTGCTTTATCCACATGACAATCTGGTTATTTGCTGACCATGAAGTCATTTTTTTATTAGTCAAACTAATGAACATAGATAATATAACGAAGCACCACTTGTTTGACAATCATTGAATTCTTTTTTTCTCAACTTCATTTTCAACCATACATTTTCAAAATAAAATATTTTGCACGAAAATCTAAAAAATTTCCAATTGTATGACTCTACGTTCTGCAAAAAAACACTATACAAAACTCATTTTCTCGAAAAAATGATTTTTAATGATTGTCAAACAGGGGTTAAAATTTAGTTTAGTAACCAACTTGAAGGAAACATGAAAATTCACAACCCTTGACTTAAAATTTGCCAACAAGCTAAATCATGAGAGATCATCCACATATTCTAATGTTATAAAACAGGTCAATTTGTAATAATTTGGTAATAGAACTTATATTATTTGTTATGAATATTAAAACCAAGAAAATATGAAAAGAATCACATAAGAACACGAGATTTAACGTGAAATCCCAAATTCGAAAAAAAAAAATCATGGATAGAGACGGCAAATTCACTATAATCCATAGCAAGAAATTACAAGTATGTTATGCAAATCAACTCATCTCTCTATCACGCGAGTCTCTTTCTAGATGCCCCTAGACCATTCTTCGAATCGATCAAATAAATATGTGTAATACACCACATATTTATAATACAAGATTCCATAACATATTAAGTGAATTAATACAAATAAGAATATAATACAATGTGAAGTCATATTACAATATGTAAAACCAATAATGAAATATTTGAAGTGAAATAGGAGTCAAAAGCTGCCAAAAAAGGAATTAAGATACTAATCCATGTGGACTCCTTCAAAATATCTTCAAATCTATAACTAACTCACAATAGTCCTCCAACGATATTTTCGATCAAATACTCAACAAGAATCAGGTCACACCAAAATTCTAACAAACCTCCACCTTAATACAAATTTCACTGTAAGGAATAAAACTTATCTCGTCAACAAAAATCTCTAACAAAATGCTCCACCAAATTACTCCACCACTCCCACAAAGCCCAACTAGGGCAAACTCAACAACTGTGAACTAAATCCATGCACTACTTACCAGTAAAATAACTTTGGACACCAAAATTGCTCTAATCACGAACAACAAAATAATCAAGTTCACAACTAACTTCATCTAATCAAGAATCCAAGCACTGCTAATTTGTAAGATCACTTTGGGTACCAAATTTGTTCAAATCATGAACAACATCATCAAAACTAACTCCGCCTGAACTAGTGGCAAGTTTTTCAATACCAAATTTGTTCAAATCACTAGCAATTCGATCACAACCAACTTCATCTTAGTCAACGCTTATCAAACCATAAACAACCAAATCAGGCTCATTGAACCTCTCATGAGGCCTATCTTCAATTTAGTGACAGCTACATCAAACGTAATCGTCAAACCTTCAAAGACATATAACTCAATCTTTACATTACTTCTCCTCCAGCATCCAAATAAAAAATCAGTCCTAATAAAAAATTTTGTTACGATCCAAAACAGAATATCAAACTTTATACTTTCCATCCCAAAACAATGAAACATCGTTCTAAGTTGATCATACCTCACTCTAATATGAAACCAAATGGCTCTCCAAGGAATTGCCGAACCTAGGCTCTGATACCACTGTCATAAAGCAAGCTAATTTGAAATAATCTGGTGATAGAACTTGTACCATTTGTTATGAATATTAAAACCAAAAAAAGTATGAAAAAATGAAAAGAATCACACAAGAACACAAGATTTAACGTGAAAATCCAAATTCGAAAAAAAAAAATCACGAGTACAGGTGAAGAATTTACTATAATCAATAGTCAGAAGTTACAAGTATATTATGAGAATCGGATCCCACAAGGCTCTCATCCTGATCTCTCTATCATGCAAGCCTCTCTAGATCCTTGGATCACTCTCCGAGTCGATCAAATAAATATGTGTTATACACCACATATTTATAATACAAGAATCTCTAACATACTAGGAGAATTAATACAAACACGAGTTTGACACAATGTGAAGTCCTATTACAATAGGTAATCAATAATGAAATATATGAGATGAAATATGAGTCAAAAGCTACCAAGAAAAGAATTAGGATCCTAATGCATCTTGAACTCCTTCAAGACATCTTGAAGTCTACAACTAACTCCCAATAGTCCCCCAACAATATTTTCAATCAAATACTCAACAACAATTTAGATCACACCGAAATTCTAACATCTAAAAATTTTGCCAAGTGGTATGATACACATAAGCCCATAAGTTCCTAAGTTCCATCGTATACTTGTGTTATGTTGCGGGTTAGTCACTGAATCAACAATATTTGGAGGTTCTTTCATTATTTGGGTTGTAGGCAATTTTCAAAACTACTAACATTTAATTGACATACATTTTGGGGTGTCGTAGGATGTTGCATGGCATTGGTTTGGAAGGGTGTTGTCAATTGCAAATCTAGTGTATTTCTCTATCAATTTGTTCGGTTTTCTACTTCCCCGTTTCCTTCCGAGGGCCTTCGAGAGGTACTTTAAGGAGAGGGATGAGGTGCGGGCAAAGATGGCAGAAAACAAGCATTCGGAAACAGTGAACGACTCTCAACACTCAGATAAGAAGGTAAATTAGCAACTTCATTAGTTGTTGACTCATCTATCTATCTTTCTGGTTAGCAACACGATTTGTTTTTTTGTTATTAATAGTTTTGTTTTATTTTCTCAAACGGTTGCTCATCATAGTAACTGAACATTTTGTGACTCGTAGCTACTTTAATTTCATCTTATTTTTTCTAGGAGTACTCAAATATGCATAATTAAGTGAGTAATTTGCTATTCATAGTGAAAAATATCGGTAGTTGTCTTACGTGACATAAATGATTTGTGATTTGATTCATAAGTCAATAAAAAACTACCACATTAATGCATTAAATCACAAACCGTTAGATATATGTCACATATGACAATTACTTGTAGTTTTCACTACAAATAGCATTATTCTATTTCAATTTAAGAAACACATTATGGTTATTGACTCAAATGTATGTTCATGCTAGATCCTATGTTGGAATAGGGAACGTGACTTGGCTGGATTGATTCATGTGACTAAATTCAGCCCATTTTACAAGTGTTTTTAAGTATGAAATATATGAAGCAAGATGCTGATAAAATAGAATTGGGAAGAAAGAATAATTTT